TTTTTTGCAAGTGTGTGCTGTCTTTGAGCACATGACAAGCTAGACCAGTTCCTCAGATAATGAAATTTTTACAGGGAGCTCAGATGTCACTGTCCACTCACTGGTGATGCCTGAGGTTCCAGGCCTCCTTGAGCTCATTCCATCCCTCTAACTCCTTCAACTCTCTCCACAGGGCATGGAGATCGTGCAGACCATGAACAGCGATCCCGGCCTGGCAGTGGGTATGTCCAGGGCCTCCGTCACCACTTGTGTAGAATCCGCTTTTTCCAGCTAGTCATGTGGCTTGTCTGGCTTTCAAATCTTACTCATCTCTGCAGGGTACACGGCTTTTAATGGAGTTGACTTCGAAGGGACCTTCCACGTCAACACGCAGACAGATGATGACTACGCAGGCTTTATCTTTGGTTACCAAGACAGCTCCAGCTTCTACGTGGTCATGTGGAAACAGACAGAGCAGACGTACTGGCAGGCCACCCCGTTCCGAGCTGTTGCAGAACCTGGCATTCAGCTCAAGGTATTTGTCTCCGTTGCTTCCGGGCCCTTTACTCTCCTGTTAAATTCTGTGTTCTCCCATATGGCATTAATTCATCTAAGAAATTGATGCCTCTGTGCCAGCATTCAAGTCGAGGAACACTGGAGCCCATCCAGGGCCCGGCCTTCTTTCCTGCACATGAGCTACATGCTCACCTCTGGGCGGCTGACGGTGAGGACGGCAGCAGGAAAAGGGCCCAAGAGGTGGGGGGACACCTTCAGGCCACTCTTTTGGAAACTGGCTAATCAGTTTCCTCGATGGGGCCGACTTCGTACAGGAGGGCTGAGAGGCTACCTCTGTCACTTCTGCTGGGAGGAAAGGCAGCAATTCAGAGTCCTCATTGGACAAATGTGGGAGCAATGGATTTACAGCTGGAAAAACATGGGAGGGGTTTATGGATTACTAGCCAGTGCTGATTACTACAAGGTTGTGGGTCACCTCAGTAGAAATGGCACTGAAGTATTTATGCTTTATGTCTGGATCCAAGGCAGCCAGGTGGTAACCATGACCTCCCACCCCTTCATCATCCCAGGGATGAGGGGTGCAGGAGGAGGGTCTGTGTGTTCTGTGCTAAGACCTCGCTTGTGTTGTTGTCCAGGCTGTTAAGTCTAAGACAGGTCCTGGGGAGCATCTCCGCAACTCCCTGTGGCACACTGGGGACACCAGCGACCAGGTCAGGCTGCTGTGGAAAGATTCCAGGAACGTGGGCTGGAAAGACAAGGTGTCCTACCGCTGGTTCCTGCAGCACAGGCCCCAGGTGGGCTACATCAGGTAGGCGGCGCACCCCCCACACTTGAAGCAAAGCCCACCCTCCTTCTGCATCCCAGAGCAGATGGTCCCCGAAGGCGCACCGGGACCTCAGGTTCCCAGAAAAGAGGTGGGAGGATGACACCCCAGCTTAGACTGATCACCTGGACATGAGGGCCAAACTGGGGCTCTTGAACCATGCTGACCTGTGTGAGGTGAGACGTGCACTGAGCCTCCCATCAGTGCTCCCGTGTGGGCCCCCGGGGCCCTGTGTGATAAGTTATCTGAGAATATTTCAGCTGCATTGAGCCCCTTACAGTCTGATAATCTCCACGAGGGCAGCGCTCCCCAGTGCCTGACAGCGTGCCACCCTCGGCATGAACCCATCCTCCTGTGAGCCAGTGTCACCTGCCTTATTTCCCTGCAGGACTACTTTAAAAGGCTGTTCTCAGAAGCTAGGATGCCTTAGGACTACATCTGTGACATTTAGTCAGTATACTTTGTCACTTCTCAAAATTGCAGATCAGCACCCACTCCAGCTTTATGAAGTGCTTTTAGGAATGGGTACTGAGTGCATTCTCTTGACCAGGGCAGGAAAACTGCCTAGTAGGAAAAAAGGAAACCCTGAGGACTAATTCATATTTTGTTCCTCTTTGAGACATTATATCAAATGTAATCTGTCTCACAGTAAGATGATCATGTTCTCAGCCCTATTAATTTTACTGCCCCTTTTAAATAACAGATATTTTGAAATGTCCCTTCTGTCCCAAAAGGAAACCACAGAAAATATAACCTACTCACATATAAAGTATTCTTACTTCTTAATGAGGGATCAGATTGATTTTCTAAAATTACAACAAAATCATGGCTGGGACACAACCACACTGAAACACGCAATGAAATAGACATTTGCACCTGCCTAGAACCACTGTGAAGGTGATGTTCTACCACAGAGCACTGTGCTGGGGACTTGACTTAACCTACAGCAGTGATGTGAATTCCTAACACGGTGAACAGCTCTTAATTTTCAAACAAAACGAAGTGCAGTTGCCCTTTGAACAACACAGGGGCTTGGTCCCAGGACTTGCCCTGATCTGCAGATGCACAAGTCCCATATTCGGCCTCCTTATCTGGACTCACCCACAAATCTTGTAGTAAGATAGTATTTATGGGGGAAAAAATCTGCGTATAGGTGGACCCATGCGGTTCAAACCTAAGTTGTTTAGGGGTGAACTGTACTCAACAGTTTCTCACTTTACCCTGGAAAATCAGTTTATATTAGTGCAAAAAAATGCCTGATGTTCACAAGTAAGAGAGTTAGGTTCTAGGCCCAGATAATTATAAGCAGGCTTGTCACCTGCCCAAGGGCGTAGAGGTGCACCCCAAAAGTGTCTGGATGCAGGACAAGTTTTGATTGTTCACTCCAGGGCCTTGTGAGCCACCCAGCATCCCTGGCTTCTGTCATTTCTAAATGCCACAATGACAGTCAAAAATGCCCCCACACATTTTTACAACCCTGCTTAGGGAGCGCTATCACTCCTGATGAGAATCGTTGCTCTGGGATTCTACCAAATGATACCAATCAGACCTAAGGAAAAGCCACAGTTTTAAAGCAAGATAACTAGATAAGACGTCGAGACAAGATAACTCACCGGACAGTGAAGTCACAAAGCCTCCTGGTCCTGGGTCGTACTTGATTTCTAACTCAGTGAGTACCCATCAAGTTGGACTCGGTGCCCAACATCGTGCAAGGCCTTTGGAGAGACAGAAAATGGGAGGACGTGGACACATGGTCCCTGACCTCATGGAGCTTCCAATCTAGTAGGGAAGGGGGAACAGGAGAGCACAGTCCAGGTCTGTGAAAAGTGCTGCACACAGTTGTGTAAGAAATGGGGCCCCGGGGTCTCACAATGGGCACTTCACCCTGACCTTGGTTTGAGTTTCACGGAGACCCTCTCTGGCTGTGTTGTTTGCAGGGTGCGATTCTATGAAGGCTCCGAGTTGGTGGCTGACTCCGGGGTCACCATAGACACCACCATGCGTGGAGGCCGGCTTGGCGTGTTCTGCTTCTCCCAGGAAAACATCATTTGGTCTAACCTCAAGTATCGCTGCAATGGTAACATACATTCTTGTTACTGCACAATATTACTGCTAGGAAAACTCAAATAATGCCAGCTTATTTTATAGCACATTTCCCTCCCAGAAGCCCAAAGCTCATGCCACTTACTCACTGAGACCTGATAGTCCCAGTGTAATCCAGTAAAAGGTAGATCTCATTTTTCCTATTTGATAGATGAGGAAATTGAGACTCGTGGAATTAAACTGCTTGGCTTTTGATTGGGGTTTCACTGACAGATCGAGTGAGGCTTAATTTACAGGCAGCCTTTATTTTCATACAGTTCCAACATCATCACAAGCTCAAAATCCACTCTGCCGGCTAATTTTCTTTAGGCCTGTGAATGAGTTCTCCTGGGCTTTAAGCCAGCAATTCACAAAGCAGTCTGAGGTAGAAAATGGCTGCAGGGTCTTTTGGAGGCTGCTGCGCAGGCTGACAGCGCCCCCTGCAGGCGGCCTCGCAGCAGGAGCTGCACCAGGATGCAGGAAGGAGGGAGCCTTTGTAATCGCACCCCCACCCCTGTTCTTGAAGGAGGGAGCCTTCCTGATCGCACCTTCACCCCTGTTCTTGTTTGCAGACACCATCCCAGAGGACTTCCAAGAGTTTCAAACCCAGAATTTCGATCGCCTGGATAGTTAAACCGAGGAAACGATCCGTCACTGCTCTTCAAACAGTAAAGCCATATATTTTTTAACCTCCTCCAACTTTCTTTGTATACACCGTGGCTTTCTTTTGCCCACCCAGATATATCAGACCTTTTGTATGAATGTGGCAATAAAGGGGAGATAATTTCTAAATACCGTGTTACTCAGACATCGCTTCCACGGGGCTCAGACTTTGATGGTGTGTTTGCTGTTCCCTGCAATGTCCATGTTCCACTTGCTCAGGGATCTTTTATTCTCCGACCGGGTCAGTGAGGCTGAGTGTGTGCATCAGTCACAAGGTCTCATCTTCCATCTCTCCAGCTCGCTTCACACAGAAGCCCAACAGCCCCACACTCGCTTCGGCAGCCTCCTTGTTCTGGGTAAGGAGCCTCAGAAACGCTGCCCTGGGGACGCCTTCCCTATGAAGACATTTCTTGATCAATCCTGTGGCAGATTTGTCCAATTCTTTCTGATGATCTCCCCACTCCACACACACCTTCCCCACAGACCACTATCCCAGCACCTTCAGTACAATTATTAAGCTTATTTATATATTTGGCTCCCCCTAGTGGAATGTCTGCTTATTGCGAGCAAAAGACCATGTCTCACTAGTCAGTATCCCTAATGCCTAACATAGCACCTGGCATGTAGTAGATTTCCAGTAAATATTTGCTGGCTGGCTGAGTGCCTCTAAAGTGACGAGGACAATAGTGTATATGGATCATAAAGCCCTCCTACAACTCAAGAAGCTGCTTACAACCTAGACTCAACCTACAGTGCTATCAGTAGCATCGCTGTCCATACAGGACAGAAACTTGCCTGATTTTTGCACTAGCCTGTCTCCCATTCTATTGGTCAGGCAAAGATTCTAGGCAAATGTTTATAAATTCCCTAAGGATTTTGTTTCAAGGAATACTGCTAGGTAGTAATACATTTTCCTGTTCCAGAATTCCTGGAAATATCTTAAATCATAAAGAATAAACACTGTCACCAGTGTTTTACTATGATTTCAGTAGTCAGAAAATACAATGGCATATGCATGACCAGCATGAGAGGTGTAGGATTTCAGGCCACATGTAAAGCCTGCAGGTGTATGTTGCCTCTAATTCAGGACATTAGCTCTTCAATGAAGGTCTTTAGTGAGCAGCCAGAACTTGAGCTTGTCTACCAGTTGTTCCCTCTACTGCTACTATCTAGTCTCCCAGGAGAATCCTGCTACAGGAGCTGCCCTCCTAGGAGTTATGGGTCATATTGGTGTCATGGGACCTGCGGTTCCACAACTACAAATCTCCAATTCTAGAAATCCCAGGGAGGAGAAGTAAACCCATTTGGTTGGAGGCTGTCATCTCTCCTCTCCCACCTCCCTTGCTTTTTATATCCCCCGAAAGGTCATTTCCTGAGCCCTTAGGGCCTCCAGGAACTCCGGCCCTCCTGGGCCCCCTCCCGTTCTACGGCACAGTGAGGTTTTACCTTTATAGCTATTTTGGTGTCCTTTCTCTGGAGTCCTTGGCACTTTACGAGGCAGTCCGTCATGAAGGCTACAGATCCTCTTCTTGAGGGAGTTCATTCTAATCACTGAAGTATGCAACAAATCCATACATGAAGTACACTCAGCTATAAAGGGAAAGTGTGTTATATTCACATCCAGATCTGATCAACTAAAGTCTTAACAGTATCTTGATCTGACTTTCAGCGAGTCTGGTATACTTAACAAAACTATTCTATGCTCCTAGATTCTCCCCGACACTGCCTCCCTGAGGCTGGTGGAAAGAGGAGGCAACCTCCCTGCGCCACCCCCAACCCACACAATTCCCTCTGCTATGATCTGCTATTAGCTGTGCAGTTGCTCCCCCCAAAGCAGGAGATAATCAATACTTTCATGTCCATGACCATGCTAGTACCATGGGCCCACAGGAGCTTTAGGACATAATTCCACACCTTAGAGAGCTTGTTACATTATATATAATAAACTCATCTTCCCGGCAATCAGAGGGTAGATAGAACCAGTGATGTACTTAAACCAGCGCGTGCCAGTTCATGCCAGCCAACCATTAAATGTTTAAGAAAGTTGTGAGCCAGTTGTTACACTGTTGAAAATATGAAATTGGCCATGGTGGGAGTATTTATACCACAGAGATTGACAAAATACTACACATCAGAGCTCTAGAGAACTAATTGTCAAACATCTACCAACACACAACTGGGTGTACTTATCTTATTCCTAGTCATCCCTCATCAGTATCTTGGAAGCGAGTGTAGAAAGCTTGCAACTTTCAGAAAACTTTTAAAAAGTAGAAAAGTACCCCTAGAAGAAAGCTTAGGAAGGATGCTCTTTGATATTGATCTGGGCAGTGATTTTTTGGATATACCAAAAGCATAAACAGAAGCAAAAAAATCAACAAATGGGGGGACTATATCAAGCTCAAAAGCTTCTTCACAGCAAAAGAAACAATTAACAAAGTGGAAAAGACAACCTGCAGAATGAAAGAAAATTTTTGCAAACCATACATTAGATAAAGGATCAATATCCAAAATATATTTTTAAAACTCCATACAACTCAGTAATCAAAAACAATCCAATTTTTAGGTGGGCAGAGAACTAAACAGACATTTTTCCAAAGAGGACACATCACAGTGGCCAACAGGCACGTGAAAAGTTGCTCAGCGTTACTAAGCATCAGGGAAACAAATCAAAACCACAGTGAGATTCACCTTGCTGATTAGAATGACTATAATCAAGAAGACAAGAGACAAGAGGTGCTGACAAGGATATGACGAAAAGGGAACCATTATACCCTGTAGGAATGTAAATTTACGCAGCCACTATGGAAAACATGGCATTTCCTCAAAAAATTAAAAATAGAACTACCACAAGACCCAGCAATTCACCTCAAAGTATATATTCAAAGGAAATGAAAAGAGGATTTCAAAGCAATATATGCACTCCTATGTTTATTGCAGCATTATATTCACAATATCTAAGATACACAAACAACCTAAATGCCCAACAGATGAATGGATAAAAAAGATGTGGCATAGACTATAATTCAATAAAAAAATTAAAAAAAGATGTGGCATATATACACAATAGAATATTATTGCAGCATGAGAAGGGACATCCTGCCTTTTGCAATAACATGAGCAGAACTTGAGCATATTATGCTGAGATAAAGTCAGACAGAGAAAGACAAATACTGTACAGTATCACTTATATGTGGAATCTAAAAAGTTAAACTTTTGAAAAAAGTTACCAGAGGATGGGGAGTGAGGAGATAAAATTATTATGGTTTAAGGGTACAAACTTTCAATGAGTAGTAAATAAATCATAGAGATCTAATGCACAGTACAGTGAATATACACAATATTGCACTACCATCATCAAACTTGCCAAGAGACTAAAAATTATCCCAACCACTAAAAAGAAAGAATTATGTAATGTGACAGAAGTGCCAAATATCACTGCAACAGCCATCACAACATGCAAGTGTGTCAAATTAACACATTGCACACCTTAAATTCACACATTATATGTCAAATATATTCAATTTTTTAAAACTGGAGAAGTAGGGAAAGTTGTGAAAATCAGGAAGCCCTTGAGAGAGGCTGGCCAAGTGCTAGATGTACACTGTGGGAATGGTACCCTCTTCCCCAAGTTGCAACGTGGGATTTTTGAATGTTTATACTCAACTTTAGCATGACTTGAATTCCTATTAGAGTTTCATCCAGGTTAGTAGAGTCCTTACTTGAATTTTATTAACACCTTTAGGAGTCTGAACAAATATCACTCACTCACCAACTAGGATAAATTTATCCCACTTCCTACTCACCTCCTTACTTCGCACTGAGATCAAGGGTCTTGAGGGCATCAGAGGTGTGAGCGGGAAAGAGAAGAGGCATGTCACTGTGGGAAAAAGACAGTGCCTGAGTAGAATCCCACAGGATGAGCGGAGAGCTCTTGGCGCAGGAGGAGGGCTCTGAGAGCATCAGGAGACAGCCCTGGGGCACAGGAGCAGGTGCAGAAAGGGAGGTCAGACTCATTTCACCTCCTCAAAAAGGGAACATGAAGCTCTTCCCACTCCCCTCCCAGGTTATTACTCCTGTAACTCAGAATGAATTAAAGATACAAACTGCAAAATCTTAAGTTTATAAGTTCAACTTAAAAATCTTATTACCCTACTATACTCTAGAAATATCTACTCATTACAGCACAATTTATAACCACGTCTAAGCTTTTGATTATCTAATCTCATTGGCAAACTTAATTAAATTTACTTAAGCATTTAAAATTGAATTTATAAATTTAATACATTAATCTGTAACATAATAAAATACTACATTAATTTGTAATGTATTATAAATTGAGTATGTTTAAGTTCCACATATAAATTTTTCTCATCTCACTGAAAAACCTACCTACATACTTCAGTAACTCTTATAAATGTAACAAACTTACAAATATTGTGGATTATAAGTTATCTTAACCACTTCACTGTTATTTATATATTCAACCAAAGATTCCCATACCTTTTAACTTAAAATTACAAGTCTAAAATCACTCAACTTTACATTTGTCATTCAAATCACAAGTTAATTCCATTCTCTAAAATGCCAAATTCTCTAAAATATATCAAATACTTTAAATATCACATAGTCAAAGATAATTCCGAAACACCACACAGAAATATTAGGACAATGGGTTCAGCATCTCTATACTTAATTTGAAGTTTTCTCAGGAATAAAAGACGCTTACCCACTAAGGAAACTACACTGTTTCAAGACATTTGGGGTGAACCCAGTGGACTAATAAGCTTGTTTATTAGCCAAAGATTTGGGCAAGGATGTAAGATCTGGAGCTGCGGACATGGAAAGGGATTTTTCTCCTGACTCAGGAGGGAGGGTTGAGCCCACCTACAGTCCCAGTGTTATTAGGGACCCCAAGTGTACACCCTCC